TTAAAAGCAGTTTAATTCATTTATTTTACAACAAACTTAAGAGTTACAAATATAGTACAAAGAATGTGTTTTTTTTCCCTGAGCCATTTGGGACTATATTGCAAACCTAACGCCCCATCACCCAAATACTTATTTCTTACAAATAAGGAAATTCTCCCACTTAAGCACAATACAGTTACCAAAATCAGAACATTAATACTGATGCATTAGTACCATCTAATCTTTAGATTCCCTCTCAAGTTGAGGGACATGTTTTGCCAAATGTCCCAATAATGTCCTTCAGAGGAAAAGAATCCAGTTCAAAATCATTGTGGACTTACTCATATTTCTTTCTTTTTTTTTTTTAAATTTTTTTTAATTTTTTTTATTTTTTTGAATTGTTTATGCTGTTACAGTTGTTCTATTCCCCCCTTCATTCCCCTCCACCCTGCCCCCCCAACCCCCCGATTACCCCCCCTTTAGCTTATGTCCATGTGTCTCAAGTCCTTTAGGTTCTGTATTTCCCATACTATTCTTGCCCCCCCATCTATTTTCTATCTACTGTCTATGCTACTTGTTTTCTGTACCTTCTCTCCCCGTCTTCTACTCCCACTCCCCTGTTGCTAACCCTACTTGAGCTCTTCATTTCTATGTTTCCACTCCTGATCTAGCTGTCCTTTTAGTTTGCTTTCGTTTTAGGTGTGGTTGTTGATAACTGTGAGCTTGTTGTCCTTTCACTGTTCATGTTTCTTTAACTTCTTTTTCTTAGATAAGTCCCTTTAACATTTCATATAATAAGGGCTTGGTGATGATGAACTCCTTGAATTTGGTCTTATCTGAGAAGCACCTTATCTGTCCTTCCGTTCTAAATGAAAGTTTTGCTGGGTAGAGCAATCTTGGTTGTAGGTTTTTAGTTTTCATGACTTGGAATATTTCTTTCCAGCCCCTTCTTGCCTGTAAGCTCTCTTTTGAGAAATCTGCTGACAGCCTGATGGGGACTCCTTTGTAGGTGATTGTCCCCTTAGCTCTTGCTGCTTCCAGGATTCTCTCCTTCGTTTTAATTTTGGCTAATGTAATTATGATATGCCTTGGTGTGTTCCTTCTTGGGTCCAACTTTTTGGTACTCTCTGGGCTTCTTGGATTTCTTGGAAGTCTGTTTCCTTTGCCAGATTGGGGAAATTTTCTTTTATTATTTGTTCAAATAGTTTTTCCACTGGTGGTTGTGTCTTTCCCCCCTTCTGGTACCCCTATAATTCGGATATTGGAGCGTTTATAGATGTCCTGGAAGTTCCTAAGCTTCTCCTCATTTTTCTGAATTCTTATTTCTTCATTCCTTTCTGATTGATCATTTTTTTTCTTCCTTCTGGTTTACTCCATTGAGTTGAGTCCCAGTTTTTTTTTCATCTCTATGGGTTTCCTGTGGAATTCCATTCATTTCCCTTAATTTAGCCTTCATATGTTTCTCTAATTTGTGGCTATAGTCCACCAGATCTGTGAGGAAGCTGACGACCAGTGTTTTAAATTGTGCGTCTGAGAGATTTGCTATTTCTTCGTCACTTAGATTTATCTCCGGGACTTTGAGGTCCCCCTGCGACATTTTTGGTCTGTTCTGGCCCTTTAAGTGAGAGAAGCGGCGCCTTGGAGTCCCAGGTCGCTGGGTTGTGACGCTGTATGTGGGGGCGTGGTCAGAGCGGGGGGAAAATGGCGCCGCCGCCGGTCCCCCGCTCACTTCCTCACCCGCGCGTAACGGGGCACCCACAGTCAACTCGCTGCCACCGCCTCCCCACTGACTCCTCCGTAGTCACTCACCCGGTGGGCTGCTCACTAGGTCCAATCCTGGGTTTGGAGCCCGTGCGACTGGATTCCGCGCCCGCGCCCGGGTCTTCAAGTTCTCCTTTGTAACTCCTCAACCCGCCGCCGGTTTCGCCTCTTACCGGCCGGGCCGGAGAATTTGCTGTTTGCGGACTTCCGAAAAGTCGCGCGTCTGGGTCCCGCGCCCGCGCCCGGGTCGAACGAGTTCTCCTTTGTAACTCCTCAACCCGCCGCTGCCGGTTTCGCCTCTTACCGGCCGGGCCGGAGGATTTGCTGTTTGCGGGCTTCCGAAAAGTCGCGCGTCTGGGTTCCGCGCCCGCGCCCCGGTCGAACTAGTTCTCCTTTGTAACTCCTCAACCCGCCGCCGCCGGTTTCGCCTCTTACCGGCCGGGCCGGAGGATTTGCTGTTTGCGGACTTCCGAAAAGTCGCGCGTCTGGGTTCCGCGCCCGCGCCCGGGTCGAACGAGTTCTCCTTTGTAACTCCTCAACCCGCCGCCGCCGGTTTCGCCTCTTACCGGCCGGGCCGGAGGATTTGCTGTTTGCGGAATTCCGAAAAGTCGCGCGTCTGGGTTCCGCGCCCGCGCCCGGGTCGAACGAGTTCTCCTTTGTAACTCCTCAACCCGCCGCCGCCGGTTTCGCCTCTTACCGGCCGGGCCGGAGAATTTGTTGTTTGCGGACTTCCGAAAAGTTCAGTTTTCCGTGTTCTGGTTGTGTTTTCTGATGCTAATATTTAGTTGTCCTTAAACTTGGTTGTGAGAGGAGGCAGGCACATCCACCTTAATCCTCCATCTTGGCGGAAGTCCTATTTCTTTCTTTTTAATTTAAATTTTATTTTTCAATTATAGTTTACACTCAGTACTATTATGTATGTATTAGTTTCAGGAGTACAGCATAGTGGTTAGACACTCATATACTTTACAAAGTGTTGCCCCCAATAGTTGCAGTACCCATCTGGTGCCGTACATAGTTATTACATATTATTGAATATTATATGTTCCCTATGCAGTACTTTATATCCCCATCACTATTTTGTAACTACCAGGTTTTACTTCTTAATCTCTTCACCTTTTCTACCCAGCTCCCCATTACTACCTGCTCCTTGCCTGGCAACCATTAGTCTGTTGTCTGGGTCTCAGGGTCTGTTTTTATTATTGTTTTCTGGTGTTGAGTTGTATGAGTTGTTTATGAATTTTGGATATTAACACCTTATCAGATATATCATTGGTGAATATCTTCAATTCAGTAGGTTGTCTTCTCATTTTGTTGGTTTCCTTTGTTGTGCAAAAACTTTTTAGCCTTCATTTCTCCCCCTTGCCAGAGGAGATATATCAGAAAAAATATTTCTAAAGGAGGTGCCAGAGGTTTTACTGCCTATATTTTTTTAAGGAATTTTATGGTTTCAAGTCTTAACATTTGTCTTTAGTCCATTTGGAGTTTATTCCACTATATGGTGTAAGAAGGTGGTGTAATTTGATGTTTTTGCATGTATTTGTCCAGTTCTTCCAAGAGTGTTTATTGAATAGACTATTTTTACCCCATTGTATGTTCTTGCTTCCTCTGTCATGTTAATTGGCCATATATATATGTTGCATTACTCGTATCTTTAAATTTTTTTTTTTAAAGATTTTATTTATTTATCTTTAGAGGGGAAGAGGGGAAGGAGAGAGGGAGAGAAACATCAATGTATGGTTGCCTTTTGTGCATCCCCTGCTGGGAACTGGCCTGCAGGGAACCGACCTGCAACCCAGGCATGTGCCCTGACTGGGAATCGAACCGCGATCGTGTGCTTCGCAGGCCCGCGCTTAATCCACTGAGCTACACCAGCCAGGGCTTCGTATCTTTAAATTTTAAAAATTGATTTGAGAGGCAGAGAAACATCAATTTGTTGTTCTACTTGTTTATACATTCATCAGCTGATTCTTGTATGTGCCCCCACGGGGGATGGAAATCTCAACCTGGGCTTATCAGGTAGATGGTCTGATCAACTGAGCTAGCTGGGCTTCATCTTCTCCCTCCTGTTCTTTCTTAATCCTCACTTGAGTATATATTTACTGATTTTTGAGAGAGAGAGACAGGCACTTTGATCGGCTGCCTCCTGTATGTGCCCAGATCAGGGATGAAACCTGCAGCCTAGGTCTGTGTCTCGACTGGAGGATTGAACCCGCAACCTTCTGGTGTGCGGGATGACACTCCAGCCAGCTCAACCACCTGGCCAGGGCAGGCCTCATGTTTCTTTGGTCTCCATACTGGAACACGTCCTCAGTCTTTCCTTGACTTTTGTGACCTTGACACTATTAAAGGTCCTAGCTTATTTGTCAAGTTCCTCAGTGAAGATTTACCCCTTTTCCCATGACACATTTCTAGTGGAGTGAAAAATTCAAAACCCAACATGAAAATATTCAGAATAGGCAAATCTAGAGAAAGATTAATGGTTGTTTAGGGCTGGGTGTTTGAGGGGTATAACTGAGTTGAATAATGTCCCCCCCAAAAGTTATGACCACCCAGAACTTGAGAATGTGACTTTATTTGGAAATAGGTCTTTGCAAATGTCATTAGTTAAGATCAGGTCATACTGGATGGGGGGGTGGGGAGTAGGTAGGCCAAATCCAATGACTGTTGTCTTTGTAACACCACATAAAGCCAGAGAGACACACAGGCAAGGCCATGTAAAAACAGATGCAGTGAATGAAGGGAGGCAGTTACAAGCCAAGCAGCCAGGGGAGAGGCCTGGGTAGTTTCTGCCTCAGAGCCTCCAGAAGGGAGCAACCCTGACAACACATGATGTAGGACATCTGGCCTGCTGAACTGAGGACGAACACATTTGCTGTTGTAAGCCGCCACCTTTGTGGTGATTTGTTGCAGGAGCCGTGGGGAACTGATACACAGAGAACCTGGGGGAGTGACTGCGAGTGAGTACAGGTTTCTTTTTGTGGTGACAGTTGCACAACTCTGTGACTGTATTAAAGACCCCAGAATGGTGCACTTTACATGGTGAACTGTTTGATATGTGACTTTTATCTCAATAAAGCTGTTATGTACACAAAAACCTACATAAATACAAATATGCTTCTCACAATTTCATTCTCATTTAAGTGTTTAAGATAAAACTCCCATATAAAGAAAACAATGAAAATTTAAATAGAAATACTTCTTCACGAATTTTACAAATAATCAACACATCTAAAATAAAGAAGAAATTTAGCAGTCTATTTTAAGTTAAAAATATTTAATATTAACAGGTAAAGACATTGATGGCGACAGCTTTATATGGCTCATTCCACACATTTCATAATGTAAAAGGGCAGAGCATTATGAGGAAAGAAATAAGTAGATGGGTTGGTAAGAGACTTATTTATCACATAAAAGCAATTAATATGAGATGACAAATATTTAATTAAAATTATTACAAAACTTCAGGTACAATGGGGACAAATATCTCTGATGTGTCTTGCTAAGGAAATCATGTACCTTTGTAATCCATAAGAAGTTCAAAGTTAACAATGATACTGTATAACAATCAGTGTTATTCTAGTGTCCTATAAGTTTGCTCTAAATAGCTTTATTTTTGGAATAATTGGATTTTATTTAAAGTGAGGACTGTAGGTCAGTCATTTATTTTACTGGTTGATTTTAGAGAGGAAGGGGATAGCAGGGAGGGGAGAGAGAGAGAGAGAGAGAGGAACACTGATTTGTTTTTCCACTTATTTATGCATTCAGTGGTTGATTCTTGCATGTGCCCTGACGGGACTGAACCCACAACCTTGGTGTATCAGGATGACAGTAACCAATTTAGCACCCTCTGAGATATAATCATTTTTTAAAGCACTGGGTAAAATAGTGATATAAATTAATTATGGGTGATAAGCTTGACATTTGTTTAAAAGATGGAATATATTTAATTGGAGTGAATATATTTCATCAGGCATATAGTACATTTTCTAAAGTTCCGAAATGCGATTATGAAGTTTGTGAGAGAGTATGTGTATGCCTTGCCTCACTCTGCCTTGCTTTTAAAAATGGAACACACTTGGCACTAAATGGAACAAAGGAAGACAAGCAAAACCATGTGAGACTAAGCTGTTCCATACTATTTCTTAGTTTTTGAGTAAATCAAAACAAACAGACCTAATTACACAGCACTTCTGTGATGTATGAAAATAGAATCTAGAGCTAAGATGAGACTGTTTCACTGAGGAGCCAATCCCCACAATGTCATAATCATAGTTACAGATGTGAAATTCATTTAAGAACTTGTATTTTCACTGATGCTCATTATATTTCAAGTTTTCTTGCTGGATATGTTCATGATTAGGTGGCCAGCTAAATAAGGTGTGTAGTCAAGTAAGGAAATTTAAATAAGAAACATCTATTTTATAAGGATCTTTCTTTACTTGAAACTTCCTTCCAAAAAAACAAAAAACATCCCACCAAATTAAAACTTTGTAACCAAACTCTTGGAACAAAGCACTGGTGGCCATTTTTTTGAGTCTCTAATGAGTCTTGAAGTCCACTCATTTTTCATGTTTCAAGGGTTTCTTCATTTGCTCCACAAGTATCGACAACACAAATTAAACAACTTGTTACTGGAAAAGCTCGAACTTTGGAGTTGGCAAACCATTTGTCTGTTTCAGTATTATATTCAAGGATGTGTCCTAATCGACCCACACCTTGAAAACCAGCCAAAACATAAACTATGGAGCCAACTGCTGCACATTTCACTGTCACACCCTTCCACGGCATCGGTGAGACCATCTTCCATTCATTTAGTTTAATATCATAATACTCCACATTGTCCAGACCGCCTGCAAAAGGACAAAACACAAACACTATAAGCAATTCAGAGAAGATCTCTTAAAGTAATAATTGTTTGCATTTTTCCAACAATTTTATTATGAAAATTTTCAAGCAGGCAAAAAAGGTGTAAGAATTTTATAGTGCCCATGTACCTACCATTTAAATTCTTATGCTTACCTTAACACAGCAGAAATGTAATTTTTATTTGTCATTTTCAAATCATAAGTATTTAATTCCACAAAATTAAAAATTTTCTATCTGTCGTAGAAAAATAAAAAAGTAGACCAATCTGTGAATTTTCCTTTGGGTTAATTATAATTATTCAAATGTCCCACTCTGTCCTTCTATTTACCTTTCTACTTTTCAGTAGAAAATAGCAGTGAGCAGAGAGAGGAGAAGGGAAAGAAGTTGTTTTATTGTTGCACTTAAGTAGTGGTTAAAGGTACTGACTAAAATGAGGTTGTGGAGTATATATAGATTCAGTCCAAATTTCCCTTATTTAAAGCAATTATTAAAGATTTTAGTACATTATTTAAGAAAATAAAAGGTTAAATTCACCCATTTAAAAACAGTAATAATGTTTTCATGCAGTGTTTAAAAATGTTTAGGGAACTTTGTCATTCAGATCCTGGACACAAGTCCTAAAACCTGTATTTAAAAAGTTTAAAAAGTATTTTTTTAAAGTTTGATTACTTCTGTCCCTCAGCAGTTCTTAAGCTAGCGTGATGCCACACCCCAGGGGCACTTGGAAATGTGTGGAAGCCACCTGAGACTGTTACACTCACTGACGACATTTCCCACATTTCATGAAACAGGATGTTAATTTCAATGTGCTCCAAGGTTGCATAAAATGCTAGTTCCCAGAAACTATAAAAATAAGTATAATGATGTATGTGATAAATGCTTGTATGTAGATTTTAAGAAATGTTTCCATAATTTAAGATAGGAAAATAATCAGCAGACTCATTGGGAAGGCTGCACAGTGAGGTGACATCACACACCTAAGCCGTTCTGACCACCCACAGCAAATATCTTATCCTTCACAAAGACCAGTCCGTGATTCTTCCTGGCTTCAATCATTGGACACAGCTCAGTCCATCTGGGAAAAGAGAAGAAAGGTTTTAGTGTACTTGTTCACAGGCAGTAAAAGGACTCACGCTGATTCACAAGAAAGACCAGTTGCATATGTGCACACACACACAAACACACATCTGGAAGGCTAAAAACCAAAAGCTTCACGGTGGTTTTGAGCAATTTATCTATAGATGGGTAAATACAGATTTTATTCCCTTCAACTCTGACAGCATATGAGATATAGAGGATATCTGGAGACTATTAACATGTCTTTGGAAGGAATTCACTTCTTGTAGTTCACAATGACTTGTAAAATGGTAACAAAAATGAAGGGAAAGACACATAAAAGACTATAAAGCACAAATAGTGTCACATGTGGTTTTAATTAATATGTACATATGAGTAAGTAAAACACAAACTTATCACGGGCCTCTAGCAAACTGGCAAATTAGGGAACATGCTAATTATTGAGTAGTAGGGGTGGTGCTAAGTACAGTAACGTGAAACTAGTGAGGAAATGAACCCAGATGAAATCCCAGTCAGACCTTTTGCTCGCACTCAAAAACACAAAGAACTTCAGAAAGAAAATTCACTAGCTTTTTTATAGGACTGTTCTTCCCTTACCAGAACAAGTTATTGGGTAAATGTGTTCAACATAAATGTTGTGCCAAAGAGCTGCACCAAAACTCTGATCTCTTAATAAACCTGATGATCTTGGAGATTTCAACTAGGAAGAGATGAGTTTCAAGATATATTGCTTTCAATTCTATTCCTAAAATTGGTAACCAGTTGAACAAAATATGCATAAAAACCCCTTATAACTGCATTTTTGTTTGGGAAAGGACTTATTGATTATGCTTCCTTAACTCCTTTAAAAGTAGGTGGGAAGCATAAATAAATAAATGCACATGACCATACTTTATAATTAAAATGTTGCTCTTAATTTTAAAAAAGCAGTAGCTGGAGTGGAAGACTTCCGTGTTTCGTAGTCTGGCAATATTTCCTAAACATAACATTTGAACACAAGAGTTTTCCTTCTGGTTTTCCCCTCCTACAAGAAGGAAGGGAAATGGAGGGGCTCCTACAGGGTACAAGGTGAAGCCATTTCTTAAGATGTAGGAAGGGTCCAGGCTGTAAACATGCCCCTGACCTTGGCACATTTAAAAGTGTCTGTACATTCTTAATACAAGGCTCCTTCTGCATTTTGACATGTTCTTCCTAGAACTTACAGAACACAATACCGAGCTTACAGAACACAATACTCTTGAAATAAGTTTTAAGTTAATACATACGTTTCCGTGGCAGGATCATAAACTTCACAGGAATTCAACACACGGCCAGAAACATTGTTCCCTAAGCTCCCACCACAAACATAGATGAGGCCATTGGCCTCCACCATCCCGTGGCTGCAGCGCTGGGTCAGCATGCTGGGCTTTGTGTGCCAGCTCTCAGTCCTTGTGTCATAGCACTCAAATAAATACAGAGCTGAGTTTCCTGTAAGAGAAGAGGGCCAGTCATGCCTGTTGTCGTGTGTGTGTGTGTGGGCTTGGGGCGAGCTGACTGTAGAGCTGAGTCAGTGGCTGGAAGAAAGAATTTAGGGTTATGGAGTCTTTTCTATACTCAATCAGTAACAGCAGCAACATGTAGGAATAGTTGTAGAGACCTTGGAAAATATTCACAGAAGGATACATTGGAGAGACTTACTTATTGGTAACTAAATTTTAGAAAAAGAAATTGGTTTGATTTTAAAGAAAATTAAATTAAGAAACTTTATACATGTCCTCAAGCCCAGCTGTGCATGATAGGAATTATCCAACCTTGAAGTATTTATACAGAGGAGAAAAACATAACTATTTACAGATGGTAAACCCATACCTTAAAATACAAAAACTACCTGATAATATTCTGAAACTTATCATTTAATATTCTATAACAGCCACTGCACCATTAACAAACTGCTCTTCCTGACTGCTCTCAGTGGTTGTGTGGGTAACCCCTGAAGTCACGCTGGCCCGTTCCTCAGTATGTGCCCAAGGCATCGCTGTATGTTTTTGGTGTACTTTGATTATACCTTTTAATCGCAAAGCATATATTCTGTTTTTCAACTTCTGCATATTATAGGAGCCCAATAAAGTTTCAGAAATGATACTATCAAAGTGCTTTTCTTCCTTCCAAGAGAAGTTATAACTTGACCAAATTATTTCTCATCTGCCCTATTCTGAACTTTGCTAGTGCTAAAAAACAATCACACACTGCCACCCTTATAATTCTCAATCACAATCAAAATGTACAAAAAGCAAAGATCAGAAAAACCAGTGGTTGTGACTAACAATAACTTCCTTTTAAAAAATGTTTCCAATTTGGTAGATTTAATTGGTTGACATTAGGGGAAATATACAGTATATAGCAGAAATAAAAATCTATGTAAGTAAAAATCTTAAGAGTAAATGAAGTTATCTATGATACTTGCTACAAAAAGTATATTATAGAACAGTTAATTTTTATTTTTAGCATTTATTGTATGTATTAGACATTCTGTGAAAAATACTTTTAAACGGGAAAACTCATTTCTTAAATCACATTTAGAAAATCATATTTTTTCTTGTACTTATCTGGGAGGATATGCATTTAAAATGTGGCATATGCATTTAAATTATGTCAAAAAGTATCTGAACAAATAACACCAACAGTTCATTTAAACATGACAGCCAGGATACTCAGCTTTAAAGCACATGCCCCAAACAGAAACACGAGCCAAGTCCTTACCGACTTCGGAACCGCCAGATGTATAGATTTTGCCTTCTGCGGCACAGGCCGCCAGGCTGTCTCGCGGAGTGGGGGGTCCCAGTTTGGAATACCAGCTGTCCTTCACGACATTATAGCAGTCCATTCGTTTAATGGGGAAAAGCTGAGAGCCACCCAAAATGTATACAACATTGTCCCAAAACACGCATGCTGCATCTCTGCGTTTTTCAAAGGGGCAGCGGATGTCTGTCCAGCTATAATCCTGCAATGGAAAAGGACAGGAAGCTTTCAGTGATGGAAAAATATAATTGAAAAGGATAAAGGAAAGCTGTAGTTGAAAAATGCGAACACAAGATTTTGTTAATTTAGTAAAGCACATATAAGAATGTTTGGCTTGAGACTATTCATCTAATCTGTGTGATTTATTTTTCAGAATGTTGGCAGAGGGCAAGAAGAAGACAGTGGCTGTTTGGGTCCTTTCTGGCTCTGAAATGCATTTTAATACATTTGGAGGTATCGTCATCATCTAGTCTTCTATTCCTGCTGGTACTGAGGATAATACAAGAAGATTTGAAAACAAGTAGGTTTGTTATTTTAAACAAGCTTTTGCCCAAATATCCTCAATACCTTCCCCGACAAATGTATAGAGTGTTATAAAGAATTGATGGTTAATACGAAGTTGAAACTGCCATTATCTTACTAATGTCTAACGCTAGAAAATATTTTGTGGACTTCTGTGAGACATTAATTTTCTGTAAACATTCAGTTGAGCCACTGTATTCAGCTGGGCGCTTATAGCTGTGATACTTATTATGAAATACTTGAGTACAGTAGTTCCCCATCATCCACAGTGGGTCTGTTCCAAGACCCCCAGTGGATGCCTGAAACCTTATACATACTACGTGTTTTTCTGTACATACATACATATGATGAAGTTTAATTTATAGATTAGGCACAGTGAGAGATTAACAGTAATAATAAAATAGAATAATTACAATAATATACTGTAAAAGTGAAGTGAATGTGGAGTCTCTCAAAATGTCTCACTGGCTGGACCCGCCCTTCCTGTTGTGACGAGGTGAGATGGTGCTGTGTCTGCGTGATGAGGTGACTCGAGGTGAGTGATGAAGGCACTGTGACACAGTGTTAGGTTGTTCACCTTTTGACAAAATGTCAAAAGGAGGATCGTTGAGCCATGACTTAGGAATTGTTTATTTCTGGAATTTTCCATTTAATATTTTCAGACTGTGGTTAACTCTAACTGAAACTGCAGACAGTCAAACTGTGAAAAAGGGGTACCACTGTAGCCTGTTCTGAGTAGTTTGGAAACTCACTTTCTTCTTCCCAGCAATTAGAAATGGGCACCTATCAGTGCTTCACAGTAGGGCCTGTTCACAGTACCACTCTGCTTCCTCACTGCGTTAGATGACATCCATGGGCGCCTGCATCCTTCTCCTATGGAAATGTGTGGGGGATGTGCCCAAAGTCACAGAGTCCTGGATCCGCCCTCTTTGAGTGAGGAAGCTATAGGTTCCTGCTGCTTTCCGAAAGTGGTTGGAGATAATAAGGGTCAGGCAGAAATCCAAACAACTGCCAGTCTCACTGAATAAAGCAGTGCGTATGGTTATTAGTGTTCAGTTCCCTCTGGGAAACTAATCAGTTGATACTATGCTAGTATCTCTCGTTTCAGGCACTCTTTGGATTAGGTCCAAGTATCACAGGAAGTAAGTTTTATTAAGGTCCCTGATGTAGAATACCATGACTCCTAGTGATCATAAACATTCTGCTTTTTAGGTGACCAGAAAAATAAAGTCTTAATCCATTTTTTATTCTCAAATTAGGATCTATGCGTCCCCTAGCTTACTGTGTGGTATGTGTATTGGCAGGCACACAAAACTATGGGATAGACATAGCACCTTCCCAAAGCTTCAGTGTTACTCAATGGACACTGAATAATAACTCAGAGAATCTCAAGTCCTGCCACTCCTACATCCAACATATTGCTATTTATTATTAGAAAGCAATATGGCAACTTTTCCATGGTTTCTAAAGATATCTTCAAGAACATTATTTTCATGCTGTTCCTTATTTAATTTCAGGATGAGAAAATTGGTTTATCTCCAAGACCTGCTACTCTTCCAATTAAAAATAACTGCCCATGTAGAAGTTGGGATTAAAACAAACAAAATACTTTTTTTCTTTTAGCTAGATCACCTTAAACATTTAGATGCTAGGATATGAGTTTCCAAAAATTGAATTCTGAAGAGTTTGGTAACAGAATAATTCTAACTTTCTAATCTTACTCAGGGATTTAAGTAGGGAATTGATGGGTGTTCATAGGTACCTGTCATACAAGGTTTCAGATTTAAGAAGTAAAATAAATTGCTCTTTTGGAACTATAAGCCCATGGGGAAATGATTAATTTTGTATGTGTAGTACGTGTGCATGACACAAGAACAGGCACATGCTTCTGGTTACTTGCAATTTGGACTCTGATGTCTCTAGAAATCTAGAATTTTTTAAAGAAATATTGTCATTCATTGGTCATTGTACATGTTAGACACTAAGCTTGATAAACACTATATTATATGATACCCTAGTTCATCTTCTAGGCAGAAAGTAGAATGATCTTTGCAAGAAATTTTACCTAGAATGTAAAATGGACTATTTCAGAGAAAAGTTAATGCTTTACATCTGGGCTCATTATGTCTATCTGGCAGGTATGTGTTCACACCTGTGTTGGAACATATCCCTGGCTTTGGCTGTATGTAGGTATGTGTGGTGGGAGAGGAGCTCATGATTGTTTTTTAGTGTGTGTATAGGTAGATCTCCCTGGGAGGTCTAATTCCTCCAATCTACCTGATATCCCTTGTCTGAAACAGACTACTGAGAAGGCGATTCGATGTCTGCCCTTTAGTGACTTGTTACACTGCCTAGGTGGTGATGTGTGGAGCTGAGGGGAGAAAAATAGATGGGAAGGAAGGATTGTCAGGCTCAGGGGGTGTGAGTGCTGGGCCTTATCCTAGTGATGGGACCACTCTTTACCTGGGGCCTGCAGGTGAAGGGTCACTTACAGCTCCTTGTACGCCTAGACTACAGGGCAGGCTAGAGGGACATGAGCTTTCCAGTTAGCAAGAAGATGGACAAATGGCACTAGAGTCACAGTGTGTGTGGGGGCAGGGAACTGTCAACCTAAAAATAGAGTTTTAGTTAAGTTCAGTTGAGTTTACCCAGTCTGCGCGAGGTTCTGCATTTAGCTGCTGAGAATATATGAAAATAGGGCAAGCGGAAAGCCTGGAAAAGATGCAAGTGGAAGGACAGACACACGTGTGCAGAAGTCCCTTGTGGAAAGTCCAGTCTCCCCTGGTCCTGGTCAGCTTTTCTGACCTCTGCCGTAATATACCGCATTGCGGACTTTTTTTCAAGTTCAAGACTCCTTTTTTGTTGTTTTGGTTTCTCCGACTTCCCCACTGTGAATCCCCACCAAGCTGGTGAGGGAACACTCCAGTACTCCCAGGCCTGGTGATTTCCCAGCTGCAGTGCTATGCTGCAGGCAAGTAACAGGCTGCAGGAGTGGAGCAGCTGTCATGGTCTCTCTAAATGCCTCAAGGCAAACACATCAGTCTCTATTCCTTTTCTTGAGGGTAAGAACAGATTTTATATAATCTGTATTCTGAAAACACATGAATCCTCAAAAAACAAAAACACTACAAGATGTAGATTTTAATAATCAAGAAAACCAAAATCCAAACTAAAAGAAATACTTTTTATTTTTAAGGCTTAAGAACTTTATTTTGAATCACTGTGAGAGGAAGCCAAGCAAAATTAGGGAAGATAGGGTCTTAGAAAAAAGGAAAGAACAATTAACAAAATGGTAAACAACCTTAAGATTTCTTGCAGAAACCTCATGGAGTTGACCCGAGTTTAAATAACCAAATTATAAACACTTTCTCTGAAGCCAGTATCTGACTTATCTCTGTTTCTAAGGGCTGTCAAAAATAAAATCACAGAACTATGGTGACAATATCAAAAGCAGGTTTATGTCAGATGCCAGAACATTCCTCATAAAAGATTCATGAAAAATGCATAGAAACACTTTTGGCTTCATTCATTTCACAAGTCACAAAAAACTAGTAAACCTGGGCACTGAGCTGGACTCTGTGTGGAGGAGCTGTGGGACTCACAGAAGTCAGTTACCCTCTCTGGCTGTTACTTTCCTTATCTGTAAAACAAGACAACTGGGTGATCTCAGGGCCTTTCCTTTGAGCCCTCAAATCCAGTGATTTTGAGGGTCCAAATAACTTATATGTCAGTAACAAAGAGCTACTATTAATTTAGTCATTATTCAGTACTTGCCTTCCTAGGAACTATGTTGAAATATCTTAAAACATTACATTATTTCCTCAATAACTCTATGAGGTAATATCCTCATTTTACAGATTAGAAAACTAAATCTTAGAGATGTTATATACCTTGTCAAAGGTCACAGAGTTAGGGAGTGTTGAATCCAAGATTAAAGTCTAAAACGATTAGACTCCAAAGTGGTGCTCCTAAACTCTACACTGCTCTGCTTCTCTAAAAATCCTCTTACATGGCAGCCGAGAAAGAACACTGGATTGGGAGTGAAATAATGTGGGCTCTTCCCATTGCTGTTGTGTTTCTAGCTAAGTGCCTGGGCATCTGTAAAATCTCACCTATAAACTCAGGATGTTGGCAGGATGGCCACTGAGGTCCTGCACAGCCTCCACCTACAACTTACCACTTACAAACACAATGATTAGCTACTAAAACCAAAGGCTGTCTGAAAACGGGATATCCCCCATGTCTTGGTGTGGTATTTGGCTTGGGGCTTAGCGTGTCTAAGGGAATGTTTGGACTGGCTGACAGGCCACAGTTGTAGAAAAGTGTATCTCCTCCAGCTGAGCCGCCTTCATTTTTGACCTTCTAAAGGTCAAAGGCTGTAGATATGACACAACTGGTCTAGCTTGGACCAGTTCTCCCTGCAGCACTGTCCTTAAGTCACACAGACTCCAGTGTGCACCTTGTCCCTGCAGCTCCTGGCCCTGTGGCAAGGAACAGGGAGACCTGTGACCAACCAACGAACAGTTAACTGTGGTTAGGGACCAGGATTTCATCTAGTTTTGGGATAAATCTAAATAGTTTCCATTTCTATCCTTTGCTAGAACAACTATTTTCCTAGGAATTTACCTGAAAGGAAGCACTGGGCAATGTATAAAGTTGGCACATACAAGGACGTTTCAC